TGTCCTTCCTTGGGATCGTCCGAGATGTTGAGGGAGAACTGAAACATCCAAAATAAGGCTACACATTCGAAGAAGGAAAGATGCGGGGGAAAAAACACTTTGTTTCACATTTTTATACATATTTATATCTTTGGCTTGGCATCCATGGACGAAAGGAAAAAATCTCCATGTATTTTTTTTTTTTAATATACACATGTTCATTTATACAGAAGCAAAACCGTATAAGTAAACAAACCGTATTTGACTCCCCCCAAAAAAGGCACAAACAAGAACAAAACAAACACTACTTCAAGGGAAGTTGCAGCCAGGCACTAAACACAACGGCGCATGGCAGGCTCTACACAGACGCTGCACAGGGTGACAGACGGCATGCGCTCTGGTCGTCTTACCTTCCGAGTCCCGGGAAGTGACACACATTCTCCACGCAAGAAGGTTTATGCTTCTATAGCATCTTTCTTTCATGGCGAGACGGAAGCAATTTGTCACAAGGTCTGTTTCTATTATTGTGAAAGGCATGGCTGGCTGGCTACAGCTGGTTCTTGGTTCGAATCTCCAGAAAAGAACTTTTAAAAAGCGTTGGGTTCACACGTCGGACAGGGTTTGAAAGGAGGCACAGGAATGATGGATGACAGTCTTAATCGGTGCTACGTTTCGAAGGCGTTGTTAGTGTGCGTTTCGTGTGTGTGTGTGTACATAAATGCATACGTACATGTGTGTGTGTGTGTGTGTGTGTGTGTGTGTGTGTGTGTGTGTGTGTGTGTGTGTGTGTGTGTGTGTGTGTGTGTGTGTGTGTGTGTGTGTGTATGGCGTGTGATATATATATATATATATATATATATATATATATATATATATTATATATATATATTATATATATATATATAATATATATAATATATATATATAATATATATATATATATATATATATATATATATATATATATATATATATATACATATATATGTATACATATGTATGTATATATATAAATATATATACACATAAGAAATATACATACATATATATACACACACATATACATGTATATACATAAGTATATGTATATGTATGTATGTATATATATGTATATAGATCCATATGTACGTATATATATGTATACAAATGTATATATATATATATGTATAGGTATATGTATTTATATGTATATATATGTATGCATGTATGTATCTATATGTATGTATATACATGTATATATATATTTATGTATATGTATATATATATATATATATATATATATATATATATATATATATATATATATATATATATGTTTATATATATAATCTATATCTATATCTATATCTATCTATTCATCTATTTATCTATCTATCTATCTGTATATATATATATATATATATATATATATATATATATATATATATATATATATATATATATATATACATAAACATATATATATATATACATATATATATATATATATATATATATATATATATATATATATATATATATATATATATATATATATATATATATATATATATATATATATATATATATATATATATATATATATATATATATATATATATATATATATATATATATATATATGTATATATACGTATACGTATATGCATCTATCTTAATGCTCTACCTATGATCTAATGCTCTGGTAATAGTGGCTGTGGGTCTACAACGGAGATGACCGTGAGAGGTGGCGAGGCAGTGCCAGAGTGTGACGCAGGCGGGGTGATCTGCAGGAGAAGCGTCACCGAACCTTTTGGGTGTGACGAAACCTGACAACTTTGGAGGCAAATTCTTAGCATTCATTATTTCCGGAAAATCATGTCACTATCGTAACCTATACACTCTTTTTAAGAGAAGTGAGCGATGATTTCCAGTGTAAAAAAACAAAACACTTTCTGGTAATTTTTTTTTCAAGAAACAATGGTTTGTGAATAATAATAAGTGTGTAATGATAGTGATGCTGATGACATGCCAATCTCAAAATTATCATAGACAAGATGGATACATCGTTATGACAGTACATCTTTAACAGTCCCTTTTCATGATCTATTCACAAAACAATTAACCGTGGTAAATGGGCCAATTTTCTATTATTTTTTAAAGCAATTAATCATTACGGTCCAACTGAAATATTGAGACAGCATCGTCAGAATTTCTGAAACTTGACCCAATCAGGCAGCCATAGCTTCTGTCTGCCTTCACCATATTCCCAATACCAGCATAATGTAGCACAGTAATAAACACAACAAATATAATCTCTCACACCATAGTCGTTATTTCATATACTAACATGACACTGCTGCACTGACATACTACTATGACCATTCCAAGTCCATAGTAGTCATAGGAGGCACCCTTCTTCATCTTCATACCTCGACTATGACATGGTAATACCATTTCAATATGACGTTGTCAAATATTACGTGTAACAGAGCCACCATTACCTGTACATGTAACACCATCAAAGTTATGAAACTGTAAC